AATATGAGTGTTATTGGAATGAGTGGAGGAAACACAGAGCCCACCCGCCGTAAGAGAAGGTTGCGAGGGAGAAGAAGACGACGTTGCTGTGTGGAAAGCAGCAGAAGCAGAAGAGAGAATCTTCCTCGTACCCATTCTTGAACGATTGAGTAGCTACTGGCCACATCAATTAGGGATTTTGGATGGTTCTAAACGAGAGTGAGATCAGTTGTGGCTTAGCTATGAATTCGAAGAGAAGAGACGCGAGCTTTTCTCGGATATATAACTTATATTTGGTAGTTAAGTTAAAGAATTTTTTGATATAATTTTTTAAATTTATTACTTATTTAAATATTTAAGGTTTTTCCATGCATTGTTTATAGGGTTGGGAACAGTAGTGGTGGTTTTCCTTCTTAGAGTTTCCCTCCAACGTATAGGAGTTCCTTCATCTTTTTTTTTTTTTTATTACCCCTCCCTTCCTCCTCTTGATCTCCTCTTTTCTCTTGATCTCCTCTTTCCTCTTGTTGTTATCTTGCTTTTTGGGTTTTTAAGGATTTACATTTGTTGATTTTTTAAAGCTGCAATTAGAATTGATTATGCCGGTGAAATGGGTTTCTTGTATTTAACCAGCAAGAATATTGCTTTGGTGCATCTCCTCGATGGGATCTTGACGAGTATCGACTTCGACGAATCTGATTCACACTAGTTCCTAACCAGCTAGCCAGTTTTCGATCAGTTAGCCAATTGTCCAAGGAAAGGGATGTTGTTGATAAGGCTGGCTATAGTCTGCATAGAAAGCTTGATTTTCAAGTCAGCAAAAAGGCTCTAGTTCCCTTAATGAGTATTGACAACATGGGTATGAAGAGGATCAGCAAAGATGGGAACATGATTGGAAGTATATGGAGGTGACTAGAGGCCTTGTGCATGTCAAGAAAAGGCTCAGACCCCTCTTGATTGTTCTTCTTTAAGAACAATTAGGGCAACAACTTATGGGTTGGGGATTGTTTGTTGCCAAAATCCCTTGCTCTCCCCAAGAAACTGATTAAATAGGTGAGGATATCAGTAGTTTTTAATGCTCGTAATGACTCTCATTTCTACGTTAGTAATCCTATTTAACCCATACAGTGATTGTATATTCAATCCCTAGTTGTAGATGACTTTTTTTGCTTAATTGTCTATATTCATTATAGTTATAATTTAAATCTGTTACTAATGCTATAAGTTATGCTCTTGATTTTCTCCTTAGGTTATTTTGATTTGGCTCTATGCCAGGAAATAGAGATTCTATTGTAATTTCTTATTACTTAATATATTTCTCTATTTCCCATAAAAAAAATATTTCAAAATTTATATTTGATACTTAATTCAATAAATATCAAATAATTTATAAATGTATATTTATATATTTTGCATAAAAAAAAGAAACCTTATACAGTTTATTATTGTTATTGTGTGTTATGTGTATA